TGAAAATTTATAGAAGAATTATTGCATTGAAATTTAATGGAAATATAGTCATTGACTCATTGAGACTTTCAGGAGCTGTTTGTCACTAGGATTGTCATTTTAATCAGTATTCATTTAAAGTATGACAGCAACATCCTATATAATAAAGAGGTAATATGCAAATTGATTGTCATGCCCTCACACAAGATGGCCGCCCTCTTGTGGTCAAAATATGGCCACCACAAGATGGCTGGCAGGGGAGGGCAGTTAGGGGCGCCCAGGCCGGCAGGGGAGGGCAGTTGGGGGAGACCGGGCCAGCCAGGGGAGGACAGTTGAGGGGACTGGGACTGCAGGGAAGGGCAGTTGGGGGTGACCAGGCTGGCAGGGGAGGGCAGTTGGGGGCAACCGGGCTGGCAGGGGAGGGCAGTTGGGGGCCAGCAGGGGAGTGGTTAGGGACTGATCAGGCTGGCAGGCAGAAGCAGTTAGGGGCAATCAGTAGGCAGGCGAGCGGTTGGGAGCCGGCTGTCCCGGATTGTGATGGGGATGTTGGACTGCCTGTGGGATTGGGCCTGAACCAGCAGTCGGACATCCCCCAAAGGGTCCCAGATTGGACAGGGTGCAAGCTGGGCTGAGGTGACCACCTCCCCGCCCCCGCAGGACACAAATTTTGTGCACTGGGCCTCTAGTTATATATATAAAATGTTAATTATGTACAATGTTAATTATACATAAATTCATGTATTCAGGGCTTAACGTAACCAATTACATAGACTTCCTTTTTGGTAAATATTGAAAAGAAATGGCAATGGTAATAATTCTTTTCTAGTCTAGGGTTAAAGAAGAGGATTTCAAAATCTTTGACTTACTTTAAAGCCTGAATTATTGATGGTTTAAATAAAAGATATTGAATATTATATATGTAGCTTCTGTATGATCAACTTACTGAACTCTATTGTAAGTTGTAGTAGGTGAGAAAGGTTTTTCAATTCATTGTGTAGGATTTTCTAGGTATATAATCATTTCAGTACAGATAATGATAACTTTTTCCTAATATTAATGGTCTATGTGTTATATAACATTCTCAAAATGAAATAGTTGTTTAAAAGGATAAATAGTTTTTATAATAACACTAGAGGCCCAGTGCACAAATTTGTGCATGGGTGGGGTCCCTCAGCCTGGCCGGCATTTGGGGCTGGCTTTGGGGAGGGACCACGGGAGGTTGGCTGGCCACAGGAGGTTGGATGTGGGAGCGCAAGGACCACCAGGGAGCAGCTCCTGCATTGAGTGTCTGCCCCTGGTGGTCACTGTGCATCATAGCTACCAGCCATCCGTCCGGTCGTAGCGGTTGCTTAGGCTTTTATATATGTAAATAGATGGAAAGATGGGTCTGTATATCATGAAGTGGAAAATAGAGTTACAGAGTCCTACCTATCTATAGGGTAATATAGGATTTATTTTAAGAAACA